ATGGTGATCTTCAGGCTGTCTATGTGGAGCACACACACACACACGCTCACACACACACACGCTCACACACACACACGCTCACACTCACACACAGACACACACACACACACACTCATATACACACACACAGACACACACATACACAATCATACACACACTCATACACACACGAGATCTACTCTGGAAAAGGGGAAGAACTGTGAATTCCTTCAAGCGCAGCATTTACGGTTTAACATAGATAATATAGATGAAGAATTTAAAACCCTTTGTGATAAGGAAGTATCCAATTTAGAGATTAGAACAACTAAAAAAAATGTTAAAAAACTTAAATTAAACAAGTTCCCCGGTAATGACGGCTTAACTGCTGAATATTTTACAGTATTTCAAGATGATCTAGCTGAATTTCTGTTAATGGTCTTTAAAGAGTCTATTGATCAGGGTGTTTTGCCTCCTTCTATGACACAAGGTCTAATATCATTAATTCCAAAGCCTGATAAGGACCTATTATCACTAGATAACTGGTGACCTATCACCTTAATTAATAATGATAGTAAAATTATTGCTTCTATATTCGCTGAAAGGTTAAAATCAGGATTAGAATCTATTATTGACGAGGTGCAGTCAGGTTTTATAAAAGGAAGACGTATTTGCAATAATAATAGACTTGTATTAGATCTCATAGATTATAATGAAATTATCAATGAAAATTTTCTTCACTTTTATTTCGTTTGTTGATTTTTACAAGGCCTTCGATACAATCGAACATGACTTTATTTTTAAAACCCTTGAATTTTTAGGTTTTGGGGACAAATTTCAAAAAAGTAATCAGAACCCTATATATAATAATATTAATAGCTCTGTAAAATGGCATAAGGAACTTCTCACAGATTTGAAATCAAAAGGGGGATTCAACAGGGCTGTCCTATTAGTCCATTGCTTTTTTTGTTGGTGACACAAATTACGGCTATTCATATTAAGAAAGATATTTTTCGTGGTATCAGAATAGAAGATACAGACATTAAATGCACACAATTAGCCGATGACACTAGCCTTTTCTTAAGAGACTGTACTGAGGTTGAAAAAGCAATTTACACCTATCATTCAATCATTTGAAAAGAAACTGAATTCTTGGTTAAAGCCGAGGGTTTATCTAGTTGATTTATACTGCTCAGGTGTTAGATATACCTCCCTCATTAGTTAAAATGATAGACACCAAACTTTTTACATTTATTTGGAAGAACGAATCACACTATATTAAAAAAGAAAACATCTGTAGGTCAAAAATTAATGGAGGATTGAATGTTTTGGATTTTAAACCTCTAACATGATATTCAAAATAAAAAGGCTCCAAATAATTTATAAAATAAGCAAAATATATTGTATACAGTACCTAACTTTATATTTCAAAAAGTAGATGGTATAGAATTTATACTGAAATGTGATTATGATATTAATAAAATACCCATTAAACTTGCAAGTTTCCACAAACAAGCATTACTCTTACGTATAGTCATAATTTTCCCCCCATAAATCTGGAATAATAGATACATAAGAATTAGAAACAAATCAATATTTTTTGAAAATTGGTTTGAAAAGGGAATTATTTGGGTTAAACAGCTGATCAAAAAGGTAAAAATGTTTTATACAATTATACTGAATTTGTTCATATTTATAACTTTGTAGTCGATCCTATCCAATATTGTTTGGTTTTACATGCAATTCCCAAGGACATTTTGAGACTATTAGAATGTAGTAATAATTATTCTTTACAAACAGTTGAAGAATTTACTTCTTGTATTATGTTGCAGGACAAGGATTTCACAAGTTCTGGATGTAATAATATTTTCTTACGCTCCCTTCTTCAACCTAAAAGTATACTTGCTGTTACTACTAACTGGAACTCTCTATTTAAAAAACGTCTTGATTGGAGTAAAATTGGGATGACACCTCATAGGTATTGCATCACAAATAAAATGAAAGAGGTTTCATCAGGGCCGGTTCTAGACATTTTGGAGGCCCCAGGAAAATTTATATTGGAGGCCCTCTGGCCTCCTTCCCTCCACATTTCAGAATTAATAAAAAGCACTTGAAACAAGTAAAATTTCTAACCTTTTTATTTATACAAAACCTGTTATCATTACTTGTATATATTTACTTAAATGTGCATATTAATTAAACTTTAACTAAGGTCAACACTAAAAAATATATGAAAGGTCATCTGGACCAGCTCTTCTTCTTCTTCTTGTTCAGTAATTTATTTACAGTAACACACTAACCCACTATTTGGGATAACAAACATTTTTGCCTACTCTATACAGTAAAATGGGGTAAAATGTCATTTTTCTAGCTGGAGATGGACACAATTTCCCCTCCTACTGAAGCAATACAGACTAGATTGTCATATTATATTCTGTAAAATGTTCCTTTGTCTATGGATCTGAAATCAATCCGTACTAATAAAACTTTAGGAGGAATAAAAGAGTTCATTACATCACAGGGTCTCGATCATTTTACAGCTGAATGTAATCAATAAAAGGAAGGAAGGAAGGAACAGCACAGACTTCCTGATGATGCAGTGCAGGTTTTATGAATATTACAGTAAACTGTGTAACAATAATAATGGAGTGAGAGCTCAGGACAGTTCCTCTCCTCACCAGCAGAGGGCGCCTTCTCTCCTGTGTCTGTGTACAAGTCTCACTTACACACACAAATATAACACAAACTGGACTTTTACACAATTTGTATAAATCATCTGTGGAATTGGAAAAGAATATTAGCTATATTTTATT